TCAGAGACAAGTGAGGGGAAGGAGGGGGGAGAAAGTGAGGGGGAGAGAGATAGAGGAGGGAACAGGGCTGTAGCCACCAACAGGCACGCTTATCTATTAAATACTTTCACCTTCCCCCTCACGAACCTTCATTCGGCCAATCAAACGGATCCGTGACATCCCGCGTATGTATGTCAGGCAGATGAAACTCGACTAACTTTGACTAATACAGTCTAAACTTTTATATAAATGTGTGGTTTTCGTACTTAAACAAGCACCCGATGCCTAACAGAGGAATCATTTCACAGAAGCAGATATTTGTAATTATTATGCTGTTGCTCATCATGGATTTAATACAGGAGAAGGCCTTTAGGTCAACTTTTCCATGGTTAGTTTGGCCAAAATTAAAATATAAAACCTGAAGAAAAGACTTCTGGAAGCTCAAACCTATCCACTGGTGAAACTGCTTTTAAATTTCTCTGTTTTCTTGTTTCATTTTCTTTATTATCTTTTTAATAATAAACGTCTACTTTGCCCTACTGAAAGGCCTGCGGTTGATTACTCTCAACGGCTGTGTGTCATTCTTCAGACTGAAAAAATAAGTATGTACAGCGCTAAGCCCCGCCCACCCCCACCTCCCACCACCCACCTGGTCCAGAAAACGAATGAGAAAGAAAAAAAAGGGGGGAAAAAAAAAAGAAACGCAGACAGGAAGAGGAAAAGAGCTGAGGTTAGACAGGTCACCTTATCCAGCAACGTGGGAATTATGGGTAAATAGGTCATTTTATCTCTGGTTGGTCAACTCCTCCATCCCACCCTTCTGACCCCTGACCCCGCAGCATAAATCTCTCCAGGATCTAATACACAAAACTTGCCAGTCGCCACATCAAACCCCACCCCCCCACACGCCCTGGACCCCCGCCCGGCAAAAAGAAGAAAAATTATAATAAAATAAACAAAAATTAGCATAAGTATCAGATTAGCTTGTGCCCCCCCATAATCCTAACCCCCCGTCCCTCCCCCTGTTTAAACCCCATGAAGGCAGAGAGGGTGAAGCTAAGGACCCGCACTACAGAGCAACTCTGCCCCCCGTCCCACAGACGCCCCCAGATGTGCCCGTTCAAATAAACCTTTATGACAATGATGCTGAACATCCTTCTGCGACAGTGGGGCCGGAGGCCAAACCACGAGAACTACAGCTCAATCAGCAAGCTCTTAACGATTTCTAAACCGGCACTCGCGGGGGCACATCGTGACCACCACTCAAAATTCTTCCCAGCGCTCGACTCATGGCGTCTCCTCTACCTCCCTCTCCCTCCCCTCATCTGTCCAGCCCTCCTCCTCGTCTCGCCTCCTCTACAGGTCGCTCTCTCCATACAGGGCGGTGGAGAAGGACATGTAGTCGAGGGCTCCGGGGACAGCGTCGGGCCCCGTGTAGGGTGCCATGCGGGCGATGCAGTACTCCGCCTGGTCTGGAGGGAGCTCCCGCCTCAGCTCGTCAGCTGTGATGTAGTTCTGGTGGAAACAGGAAGCAAAGAGTTCACTGCTAAAGCACTAAATGACATACGGCTTAATAGAGACGAAAAACTGTTATGTTATTGATCTTCTAAGACAACAGAGGATCGTATTATTGGCTGAGTATCATTATTTAGTTCCAAACTCGTGTTTGATGGATCATTTCAGATCACAAGTTCAAGTCTGGAGTTTGAATATCTTGGGATCTTTAAACCGAGTTAGTTTGGACCCGTTCGTCCCAGTTACTCGTCTATTTTTCCTAAGGACACTTTTCCTCAGGGCTGCACAGCCCACTTTGAGGATCACAGCTTTAAAGCACCGTGCAGGTCCAAGATACAACTGAAGTCCTATAAAACTTCTCCAAATGTCAGGCTGTGTGTGCCTGAGGAGCTGATGTCATGGAAGTCACTAAGTTTTCCAAAGCTTTAATCACTCAGTGTTTTAGGGGCCAGAGCTTAAATGAACCATAACAGACGATCTGGGCTGCTGATGCAGCTTAAAGCCAAAGTGCTTATTATTATTATTCATGATTATTTTTATTATAAGTCCTAATATCAACCTGTGAGGCGTCTCTAAGAAAAAGGAATATCTGCACAGATTCAACCTCAAGCTTGTGTTGAACACAAGTACTCCCTCTGCTGGTGGTCGGCTTCCTGCTGCACATTTCTTTCTCCAGTACTTTTCTTGTCCAATCAAAAATGAGCACTGATGTCATTCTGCGCTCACCTTATCAGCAGCCAGGATCTTGAAGGAGGCGATGACCTGGTCCGCGGTGTCCCTGTCGGTCGTTTCTGTGGACATGAAGTCGATAAAGGCCTGGAAGGTGACGGCGCCGCTGCCGTTGGGGTCCACTATACCCATGATGCGATTAAATTCGGCTTCGCCCTGGCATCGACAAATTACAGGTTAACCCAGAAGAGACGGCGCTTTGAAGTCAGGGAACAGACGCACATTTACGGGGTTTTTCCTGCACAGAGGGATTCAAGAGCAAACTGAAGAGGTGTTAGCCACAGCCAGAGGTTAGTCTGTGGTCATTTTATTTCATATTTAGGTCAGTTTTTATTCAAACGGCCAAAAAGGACAGAAAAGTGCATCGATTTCTGTAAAATGAGGGAACAGCCTCACCGTTTGGAGTTGTCTGGGAATCAGAAAGAGTACTAAAACCCCTGCAGTTTGTAAGCATGTAAAATATAGGGACTACCATTAAAGTCCTAATGGGAGCCCCAATATGTGGTTGGGATGGAGGGAAAAAACAGACAAATGACGACACAATGAGAAAACAGTGAAGAATAATTTGGATGGTCTACATGAAAAACATCAGCTTCCTTCAGTTAGTACTGATCATCAAGGATGTTAAAGTGACACGTGTGACATAAAAGGACAGGAAGTGAGAGCATCAGAGGGAGCACAGGGTGTCTGCAGGTATCAGGTCACATGCAAATCCACAAAATATCCAAACAGAAAATATTAGGAATAATTAGGAATACTGAGCAATAATTTGCCTGCCTGGGTCAATTTGTCTGAATTAAGAGTTTCACTTCCTGGTTTAAATGATTTTGTCAGAGGCTAAACTTCCCACAGGGAAAAAGAGACGTGGACGAGAATATAATGGAATAAGTAAATCAAAAAGTTCTAGCTTCCATATCCATATCCTGTCCCTCTGATTCAGGTAAAAGCAAAAACACAGAACTGCTTCTTTTGGGTGCTTCAAAGCTTGTGACTAATTAAACTGCATTAGGATATTTCTGGAGCTGCAGACACCCTGAAAGAGCTTCATGCCAGCAGCAGTACCAGGCTGTTTCCTGTAGAAATGAGTAGAGCCCGGAAATCATCTGACATCATCTGTCCTGATCGCTTCTGCAGGCCGCCACAGCACAGGATAGGTCGGAGGGAGGAGGTGGTGAGTAGACAAAGACGGAGTCAGAGAGATACGAGGGACAGAGAGAGAGCAGCAGAGTGAAGGATGGACAGAAATATTGAGATCAAACAGTGAGCGAGTGAGAAAAAAGCCATAAAAAAGCACAAACGGTTAACAGAAACGCAGCAAAGTAAAAACCTGACGGGCAGACAGACAGCTGAGGGGTGGGGTCCGCACAGAGCTGAAGCAGGACAAAGCAACAGAGACCCCCGGTGGACAAACAGAGACCCCCGGTGGACAAACAGGGACGCAACACCTCCATGAACCTCCATGCCGATGGACTGAACCCTGCCTGAACGCAGAGCAGGGCAGCAGGCTCTGAGCAGGAGCACCGACTGATCACCGACCAGTGTCACACAGAGTGTCAAAAATAGAAACCTAATTTAGTTGACCTAATTATTAATACTGTAATTGTTCAACCTGTATTGACATGCTTATCCCATTTTACTTTATGCAATTATGTCGAAATAGTTTCTTATCATTTTTGTCTATTTCAGGCTGTTTCTGGTTACTTTTTTTATTTGCAATGCAAATTTTTATGGCTTCAAAACATCAACTATTTGTAGCCTGTGTGGAAAAAATAAAATCAATTAAGCTACAGATTTTGCTAGATGCTGAATTGTCTGACTTTTATGTGTCAGTGTATAAAATCAGTAAAAGAAACATCGATTGTGATTGGCTGAATGTGGCTGGCAGTGATCTCCGCTCTCCTGCTCAGAGGCCCGATGATGCCGGCTCTCCCTGCGTCCAATCCTTGAGCTCCTACCTGCTTGTCCTTCTCCACATCGTAGCCCAGACTGATCAAACAGGCCTTGAACTCCTCGGCCATCAGGGCCCCGCTGTGGTCCTGAGATCGGCCAAACACCCAATGACAGAGCACCGCATCGTGAGGATGAAGCAATCGTAACACAGGGATGGTGGCGGTGGAGGACAGTGACCATGAGATCCACAGCATGCAGGGAGACGATGAAGACATGGAGGACGAAGGGACACACATTTATGGATGTTTAGACAATGTCGCCACACACACAAACCCCCACACCCACTCAAACTGTCACTTTTTAATCTCCACCAATCACGAGCGTGAATGAATAACAAAGACAGATGATCCCGGTCCTCTTCAGTCCGGAGCAGCATTCATGGACACAGCAATGAACTGTTTCACAAATGACTTTCACTTAGAGATCCACTGTTTTAATGCAGTTGTTACCTTTTTATGTTTATTTTTTACGCATTAAATTATGATATATGTTAAGGCCTCAAACATTTAAAAATTTATCTATATTTAAGGGAGAACAAACCTCAGTTTCAAAAACTGTGGTGTTGTCTCTGCAGCATTTTTAAATGTATATACTTCAGAATTGAAATAATTAGCAAATCACTGCATTCAGTTTTTATTGAAAACTGACACAATGTTCCCAAATTTAGAGAAAATTATCCATGCAAAGACTGAAATGGGGTCAGCGGGTTGCTACAAGTGCTTTCTTTGTACCGAGTGCGAAGAATAGTTCCAGTGTTGTGTCGTAAAGGAATAAACACACTGATGTGACGAACAAAAAGACTGACGGGTGAGTGACCACCGTGTCAGATAGTGGCATGAATGAGTGACACACACAGAGCGGCATGAGATGATGAACGATGGCGGTGTCGTCCTCCTCTCTGACAGCTGAGAGCTTTCAATCATCACGTTTAAACCACCACAAAACACAAAAAATTACATCTGGTAGGTTTAGTTTAGTTTTTTTAAATGCAGAAAACAGCGTTCCAAAGGGATGACAGACATCTACAGGTTTGCATGTCCAGTGAGGGGAAAAAGACCAAGTGGAACCCAAAAATAACACATTTCAAACCAAATGTAGCATTTCTTAGCTGATTTAAAACAAGTAGCCTTTTGCTAACTGGATGTTTCCTCACTCTTCACCCTCCTGGTCAAAGCCAGTCACCATCCGTGCCTTTTTAAAATTTCACCAACACCGCCTGTGCTCGCGAGTGAAACATCAGGATGAGTACTTACACGTCTGGCTCGTCTCTCACCCCCATCTAAGGTCTAAACATCCAGTCAGTCACATTATAAATAAACAGGAAAAACAGAGGCCAAATCCTCACACTGAAAACTGTTCAAGTCCAATTAACCACAACTAACCCACTGCTAATGACTAGGGCTGCCACAAACGATTATTTTGATAGTCGACTAATCAGATCATCATCCATTGGACATAAAACATACAGCTTATTGCGCCAGCAGCATCTGCTCTTATATAACTATCATTAGCTTACAGCTTTAAGTGTTTAAGGTGCTAACTAAAAATAAAGACAAGATGATAGTTTATTAAATTTTGATGAAATTTGCAGATTGTTTCGGTGAAGTTTAATAAACTCCTTG